AATTGCTTGCTTGTTTGTTTTTTTACATAGAATATTTAATCCTAATATTTAATTTTTAAATAATAAGTCTGAAAAGAAACCCTTAGTCACTTGGGGTTGGCAGAAAAAAGGTAGAAATGCTCTCCTCTGCTAGCCCTTTCATTCCCCAGCATGGAATTATTTCTCTCTGAAATAATTAGGCTAGTCCTTAAATGCAAGTCTGACTAAATTTCACAAATAGTCTGGTCAGGTGCAACTCTCAAGATTTATTATCTGATAGAGAGAGGTGGGGAAAATCTCAGGGATGGAATGCACTGTTACTATGTGTTTGTGTGCATGTGTAAAATGTATGTGTACTAAACACATCTGAACTCCCACTTAGAGATTCAACTTCTAAGATCAGGAAAAAGTGCATGGCATTGTTCTTTTTTTAAAAAAAGGCACCTGCAGTTTACAGGAAGTGGGAGCAAATAACCATCAAGCTTTAGTGATAGAAACTAGGGTTGCTTTCACTGTTCACTATGGCTGCCAACGGCAACCCAAGTGGAAGATATGTATATTTGACCTGTCAACACCAATCACCTGTGGCCATTCATATCGATATTGCAACAAAATACAGAAAGCCTACACTTAATCATCCCTGGAAAAGGAGTTCAAAATAAGTTCATGTGTAGCTTTGCCCATAAACATCTAGGAGTTTTATGTCCATATAACCACTAAACTAGGACCTCTGGGGTTTCTTGTACATTTTTACCTCCTTGAATTGCAAATGAAATGGCTTGGATTGAATTGATTCTAGTTTCTGCAACCATATACTGATAGTTTGAGAATGTACGACTTATCATCAGCACAGGGCTTTCTTCAAATTGTGAATTGTGCTAATAGTTCCAATGGATACAAAATGGAACTCCTCAATCTACAATATTAGGCTGAAATGAACTGCCTCCTGGGTCTTATTCTGGAAAGAAGATTCATGAACATCCCCAAGCAGACTCCACACTTCCCTTGGTTTCAAAATACTTTCTAAGTGGAAAAGGAAGAATAGGGGAGCAAGAATGACTATCGTTGGCCATGTTTTCGTTTTCTTTCTTGACTCCTACAGGGTTTTCCAATAGGCAATATGGATAGAGAAGAAGGCTTTCTTGTGAATGGCAAGCTAGGTACAATCAATGCATGATGGAATAGCATTATTTCACTTGTGAATCCCCTGCTTCCAAGTACATGCCAGTTGAGGTATTAGAGTGTCAGACTAGGATCCAGAAGCCCAGGGTTGAAATCCTCATTTGGCCATGAAGCTCACTGGGTGACCTGGGTGTAGTAACCAACTCCCAACCTAGCCTACCTCACTAGATTGTTGAGAGTGTAATAATGGACAGGGAAAGAGCCACACATGCAGTCTTGAGCAACTTGAAGAAAAGGAGGCTAATGACATGAATACACCACTTCCTAAACCAGTGGTGGGCATGCATGATGCAGAGTATACAGGCATTTGTACAAGCCACAAGTTTGACAATATTAATTCCATAGTTTAGGTGTGCATTGTGTCAGAAGTACTTTCTTTTGTCTGTCTATAGTTTCTGACCTTTCACACATCACTTGGGAAGACAGGTGAACTAATGCCAGTGTACTGGAAGAAGAAAGATCACCAGCAATGATTCTTCAATCTCAACTTCGTTGGACTGGCCATGTGGTTCAGATGCCTGATTATCACCTTCCAAAGCAACTACTCTATTCCAAATTTAAAAATGGAAAGCGAAATACTGGTGGACAACAAAAGAGTTTTAAAGACTGTCTCAAGGCAAATCTAGAAAAATGTAGAATAAGCACTGATAACTGGGAAACACTGGCCTGCAAGCTTTCCAGCTGAAGAACAGCCTTTAACAAAGGTGTCATTGATTTTGCAGAAGCATGAACTCAGGGCAAAAAGAGAAACGAGCTAAGAGGAAGGCACGTTTGGCAAACCCTCACCATGATCAATTCCTGCCTGGAAACCTAACTGTGGAAGGATGAGTGGATCCAGAATTGGCCTCCACAGTCACTTATGGACTCACTGTTAAGACTGTGTTTATGGAAGACAATCTTACTCAGCTATGAGGGATCGCCAAAGAAGAAGAAGAAGACACGGTCCTGGAGGTCCTGCTGAATATGATTAGAAGGGACCAGTTGGTTAAAGGTGTACAAGTCGGAGCTAAACAGTACAAATTGAGAGCATTTGCAGATGACTTAGTATTGACATTACAGGAGCCAGAATCTAGTACTAAAAGAGTTTTGGAACTGATTCAAGAATTTGGTCAGGCTGCAGGATTTAAACTGAATAAGTCAAAAACAAAGGTCTTAGAGAAAAATTTAACACCGATTGAGAGAGAGGTTTCAGAATGAGACAGGTTTAACAGTGGCTAAGAAAGTGAAATACCTGGGGATTAACATGACAGCAAAAAATGGGAATCTATTCAAAGACAATTATGAAAAATGCTGGGCTGAAGTGAAAAAAGATTTAGAAATTTGGTCAAATTTGAAGCTTTCACTGCTAGGCCGTATTGCTGCGATAAAAATGAATGTATTGCCTAGAATGTTGTTTCTGTTTCAAACATTGCAAATTTTGGACAAAATGGACTGCTTCAAGAAGTGGCAGAGAGATATCTCTAGATTTGTCTGGCAGGGCAAGAAGCCTAGAATAAAATTTAAAATACTAACGGATGCAAAGGAAAGAGGTGGATTTGCCCTGCCAGACCTTAAACTTTATTATGAATCAGCAGCTTTTTGCTGGCTGAAAGAATGGCTGCTTCTTGAAAACACAGACATTGTGGATTTAGAAGGTTTTAATAATGTATTTGGATGGCATGCATACTTGTGGTATGATAAGGTCAAAGCACATAAAGCATTTAAAAACCATATTGTCAGGAAAGCATTGTTTAATGTCTGCATAAGATGTAAGGACCTACTGGAAAACAAAACCCCAAGGTGGCTGTCACCGATGGAAGCGAAAGCCCAGAAAAAGCTCAATATGGAGGCCAAATGGCCGAAATATTGGGAAATTTTGGAACAAGAGGGAGATAGACTGAAATTGCAGAGTTTTGAGAAACTAAAAAACAAAGTGTGAGACTGGCTTCATTATTATCAGATAATGGAGGCATACAATTTGGACAAGAAAATTGGCTTCCAGGTGGAAAAATCAAAATTAGAAACAGAACTGTTAGAACCCAAAAGTAAGATTTTGTCAAAGATGTATAACCTGCTGTTGAAATGGAACACTCAGGATGAAACAGTGAAATCTGTTATGATTAAATGGGCACAAGATGTTGGACATAACATAATGATGGCTGACTGGGAACAGTTATGGACCACAGGTATGAAGTTTACGGCATGTAATGCCTTAAGAGAGAATATTATGAAAATGATATGCAGGTGGTACATGACACCAGTCAAGCTTGCAAAAATCTATCATTTGCCCGACAATAAATGTTGGAAATGTAAAGAAACCGAAGGTACATTCTTTCACCTTTGGTGGACATGCCCAAGGATTAAGGCTTTCTGGGAGATGATTTATAGTGAAATGAAAAGGGTATTTAAATATACCTTTCTGAAGAAACCAGAGACCTTTCTCCTGGGCATGGTCGGCCAATTGGTGCCAAAGAAGGACAGAACTTTCTTTATGTATGCCACAACAGCAGCAGGGATACTTATAGCAAAGTATTGGAAGACACAAGATTTACCCACTCTGGAAGAATGGCAGATGAAGGTGATGGACTATATGGAATTGGCGGAAATGACTGGCAGAATCCGAGGCCAGGGAGAAGAGTCGGTGGAAGAAGATTGGAAGAAATTTAAAGACTATTTACAGAAATACTGCAAAATTAATGAATGTTAGAATGATGTCAGAATGAAGTTAAGTGGTTTTAGCAGCAATGTTATAAAGGTGTATGTAAAAATGGATAGTTGACAGGTGAAAATCCAAAGTTATAATATATTAAGTTAAAGGTTTAAGACTAAAACAAAGAGGGAAATGAATTGCTGAATTAACCAATAGAACTGGAATACAAAAAAGGGAGGTGTGAGGAGGTCAGGGAAGCAAGGAAATGAATGTAAGGCATGGAAAGATTGATGTGTTTTTTTAAGTGTCTTTTATCTTTTTTCTGTATTTTGTATTCTTTTTCATTTTTATTTTTTCATTTTTTATTTTCTTTTTATTTATGTAATTTTTTCTTTGAAACCTTAATAAATATCATTTAAAAAGAAGAAGAAGAAGAAGAAGAAGAAGAAGACAGTCTCCCACCATATAGCTTCATTGTACAACCCTGAGTTTTGATATTCTGAGAGAGGAAGAACAATCTCTCTCTATCCACTTTCTCTGCAACATGCATAATTCCAGATTGATGCATCTTTAAACAAAGCCTCACATGTGCAAGGATTCCCCCCTTAGAGGAAGAGAATTCAGATTTTTGGCATATGACTTTAGATTCAGGGTGTTCTCTGGGTAGTCTCCTTAGTTGAAAATATTTTATATAAACAAAGTATGTTTCAGAAGGAGAATGTATGGGCTTTCTGTGTTTGGGGATGCTCCATTAAGATACCAGTTCTTGCGTATATCAGAGTTTTGCTATACAATGATCACTTTAAAAGGAAAGGAAAATAAGGCTTGTCAAAAGAGAGTATTCATTGTGCATGGCTCCCCAGAGACCTCTTGTAGATCTTCAATAAATAACACACAGAGAGAAAAATGCTACTCAGGCCAGCCAACCTGTCAACATTCATAAGTAATTAACTTCTAGCCATTTCTTCTTTAAAAAACTCCTTTGGGAAAGCTGGTGTAAAAGAAAGTGGCATTTTTCTTTTCCTTGACAAGATTCTCATTAATTGCTGAAGAAGCACATATAAAAGACTGGGGGAAGGGGCTGGAATTTCTGCCCATGATCAGGTTTTTGTGAACCATGGAGAGCACGTATATGACAATGACCAAGAGCTTGAATTCTGAGTCTGGGTGTGCGGGGGAAATCACATCAGCTGTGACCATACGTATAGGGGAAGAATTGTAGCTCAGTGGTAGAACATCAGCTTCTCATGAAGAAGGTATCAGGTTCAATCTCTGGCATCTTCAGGTAGGACTGTGAAAGACCACCTGTCTGAGCTGCTAGAGAGCCATTACCACTCAGTGTAGACAGTGTAGACCAGGGGTCAGCAAACTTTTTCAGCAGGGGGCTGGTCCACTGTCCCTCAGACCTTGTGGGGGGCCGGATAATATTTTTTTGGGGGGAAATGAATGATTTCCTATGCCTCACAAATAACCCAGAGATGCATTTTAAATAAAAGCACACATTCTACTCATGTAAAAATATGCTGATTTCCAGACTGTCCAGGCCAGATTTAGAACGTGGTTGGGACGGATCCAGCCTCCAGGCCTTAGTTTGCCTACCCATGGTGTAGACACTCTAATGATCTGACTCAATATGAACTTCCTGTGTTCCTATGTAGGCTCTAAGCACACTAAAATCTACCAACCCTTCATCTAGGGTAGCCTTTCTCAACCTGTGGGTCCCCAGATGTTGTTGAACTACAACTCCCACCATCCCTAGCTATCAAGGCCAGAGTTCAGGGATGATGGGAGTTGTAGTCCAACAACATCTGGGGACCCACAGGTTGAGAACCACTGATCTAGGGATAATATGAAGAAAATGATAGTGACCTGACATTAACATGCATGGTCATTTTAAAGATTTCTGTCAGGGGTTGGACTCAAGAGGGCGAGATAGAGGAAGAGGAGTGGTGGAATTCCCACCCCCCTCTTCTCCTGATGCTGCAGGAGAAGGGGGAGACAGCATTGAGTTACAGCAGGGATCTGAGGGAAGACATAGCTCAGAGAAAAATGAATAGAAGAGTCGGGCAGAGTTAGGAGAAGGAGGGGGCAAAACTATGGCAGGGCAACCAGCTGACACGTTGTCACTGGAGAGTATTTCTGATCCCCCTTCTCCCAGAACTCGGCATTCATTAGGTGTGCAGGAACAATGAAATCAGCAGCATTTGGCCATGAGTGGTGTGCTGGTCCTGGGGGTCTAAACCGAGAGGTGAGGTCCAAGTCCAGTCCGAGGTCGATGGTGCGGTATGGAGGCTGTCCATCAAAGCTGTAGCTGGGTCCAAGGCAGGGAGTCGGGTGGGGTCAGGAGCTCTGGCAGAAGAGCAGGACAGGGTGCTGGCAGGGACAGGCAGCAACAACATTGCTCCTGCAACTTGGGACTGGGGCTGACTGGCTTTTATCTGCCCCAAGGCATAGGGCGGCCCCAGTCCACAGGTGACTTGCCTCTCCTGGCCTGGAGGCGAGCACTCCTCCTGCAGGAACTTAGTTCTCTCCTCCTCTCTGCCCTGAGCCTCTGCAGCTCAGGAGAGGCTGGAGGGTTACCGGACCCAGAGGCAACCTCAGCTTCCCCTGACGGGGCTGAGAGTGGAGCACCTGCAGGCAATGGGTCCTCCATCACTTCAGGAGCCAGAGCAGACTCAGCTGGTGCCTGCACTTGAGGATCCAGCACAGGTGAGGACCCTTCAGGCTCAGGCCCCAGCCCCGGCTCAGCTGGTTCTGGAGGTGGGGACTCCTGTGCAGGCTGGGATTCCTCAGGTTCAGCCTCCGAGTCCAAATCCCAGGCCATCACAAGTGGCTACCGTAAAGGAAGGTACTGTTCCTAGGGAGGGAGGAGGAGCCCAGTTTGGAGCAACACCATTTTAAGGCTTGTTGCATTCTTTTGTTTCTCACTTTTAGGACTGAATAAAACTCATTAAAAAGGACTCTGCCTTGTTTTCTCTGCTCTTGCTGCAGCTGGGAGAGGAAAAGCTTTCTCAAAGCCTTGACAGAGCCTTGACAATTACTGAGATTATGGTCACATCCAAACCATACATTTAAAGTACTCTTATACCACTTCTCCATGCCGTCATGGAGAATTCTGAGAACGGTAGTTCTGTGAGGTGAGCACCTTTTTAAAAACTACATTTCCCAGGATTCTTTGGGGGAAACGATGACTACTAGTGATATGAGTGCTTCAAATATAGGATGTGAATGTGACCTATATATGTGAAATACTCTGAACTATTAGAGTGGGCCATAATTCCTACACACAAAGAGCATTTTTTGTTTTCTAAGGGATGGAGTGATGTGGGGGAGCTGTAAGGGAATGTTGATGGAACTGGGAAGGTCCATGGGTAGGTAGATTTAGTGAACAACATGCACAGGGCTGCAGCCCCAAGTATCATCAGATAAGCCTATGAGTCCTCTCTCTTATAAAAGGGGAAACCAGTGAGATTTATAAAACAAAGAATCAACAAGATCAATTAAAAGAGGTGTGAGAAAAGGAGACAACAGGGCAGTCAAAGCTGGGGGAAAATATGGGAGAAACACACTTCGAAAATGTTGTCTCTAAGGATAAAAGAAAATTACTATAAGTCAGTATGATGGCATTTAACACCAGCAAGATTAAATCAAATAAACAAGGAATATTCAGTGTTATATTGGAGGGGATTCCAGGACTTGTGTTCGCATGTGGTGGGGGTGTAAATATGCACATTTTTATTTTTATTTTATTTTTTATTTTTTGCAAAGGGTGTTTAAGGAGATAACAGAAATCACTGTGCTAAAGCTGACCGAAATTCCAGAGGTAGCATTGTTATCAATTTACAACGGGGTGGAAGGTTCACAGGCTATGAAGGACTTGCTCACAAATTTATGGACAGCTGAACGAGTTATTCTAGCAAGTAAGTGGAAGGGGCAAGAAGAATATAAAATGGAAAAATTGTATAAAGAGTTGTGGGATATAGTTATTAATGATAAATTAACACGTGCTATTAAGGCAAGATGGGGAATATGCAGGATAAATGATTCTGAGGAGATATGGAAGGTATTTGTAGAATTTGTACTGTTAAAACACAAAGGGGGTCAAACCACTGCAAGAAGTGTTGAAATTTTTTGGGAGGCTGCATAGATAAAATGGAATGGTCTCAGTGGTGGGGTGCACATTTTTAATTATATTTATTTATTATTATTGCTTTGTTAAAATAATAAACAATAATAAATAATAAATAATAATATTTTTAAAAAAGAAAATGAGTCCTCACTTATTAGTAATGGTGGTGCCATTGGTACAACTAACTTAAATGTGCTTGGTGCACAGAAGACATGAGTTGGCATGACCTCTGCCTACAGTGCTTAAAAGGAAAGTAGCCCCCATCCAAGCCTGATGTGAGCATTGCAGAAGACTGGCCCTGGAAGGGAGATTCTTGTCCTTTTCCTGTGACAAAAGAGACACTGGCTGCTCACTCATACATTGCTTACTAAGGGGCCTTGGAGGCCATTCTGCATCCAACCAAAACATGATTCTTCAAATTGACAGGGTGAACATAGTATGCTGCCCTTGGAGGCTCACATACCAAATTTCTTGTTGCCCCTGGCCCTCAGTGCTCTGTCTGGCTCGGTGTTGCTGCCCACGGGCCAGCAAGTGTTCAGGGTGTGCTGGGCTCAAGTGCGTCAGTAAGCCCATAGGTTTATTTTCCACCGGGTGGCAGAGGGAGATGCCTCTTTTTCCTCTCTATTCTTTATTCTTAGGCAAATTAAAATGACGTGTTCAGCCGTATAGTGTGCGCGCAATTCTTAGCAAGAGAGGCTGTGCCTGAAGCACTGCATTGTGGCCCCAGGGTATGTGGAGTAGAGTATAGCACAGCGACAACAAAAAAGACTATACAAAATGGCCTGCCTTGCAATAATTGTAATGGAATGAGCCTGCTTCGCTTGTATGGGAAATAATAAGTTGTCACATCGTCATCGAAATGCCAACGGTGGAATAATAATGAGCTGTACTTCGGCATGAAAGGATTAGATTTTGATGGAGGGTGGGGATAGAAACCCAAACCCACCAATACTGCCAGTACTTATGAATATATTGGCCGTCATGCTTTCTTTCCATCATCAGAAATGTATTATGAGTCCTTCCTTCTTCTTCTTCTTCTTCTTCTTCTTCTTCTTCTTCTTCTTCTTCTTCTTCTTCTTCAGAATATAATTTCTGTTTAGGGATACTGTGATATTCTTCAGACATTTATCCCATTCTTTCTTTTTGCTTGATTTTCTCCTGTTGACTTACTGCCTGGGCTGGGGGATGATTGGGAGTCAGCATTTTGTGAATGGGAGTCTATAACCCATTAAAAGCCATGGTCTGTATGTGCATCGAGATGCGCAGCCAATTTACAATCGCAGTTCTTAAAATCAAAACTACCTGAGACACTCTTCAAAGTTTCCATGTATATCCAGGACCACTGGGTAGAAAATGATGATAAAATCAGGGCTTAGGGGGAATTCATAGACAATATGCCCTACTCCCTGAGGGTTCTATTTATTGCTGCTCATGTAGCCAGTTCATTTGCCTTCTCGAGGCTACTTTAAGGGCCAGTCCTACCACTGAGTATAGTGAGGTGGTTGTCTCAAGGAGATGCTGAAAAGATGTAGGATGACAGCCATGGCAGCTCACAGTCATTCTTCCTGAGCCAGCAAGTTCTTCCCCTCTACTGGTACACATAGCCAGCGTGCTGGAAGAAACAAAGATCATCAGTGTCGAAACAATGATTCTTCAACATCGACTTCTCTGGACTGGTCATGTTGTTCAGATGCCTGATTATTGTCTTCCAAAGCAATTCCTCTATTCCAAATTTAAAAATAGAAAGCGTAATGCTGGTGGTCAACAAAAGAGGGTCAAAGACTCTCTCAAGGCAAATCTTTAAAAATGTAGTATAAACACCGACAACTGGGAAACACTGACCTGCGAGTGCTCTAATTGGAGAACAGCCTTTACCAAAGGTGACATGGGTTTTGAAGACACTCAAACTCAGGACGAAAGGGAGAAACGTGTTAAGAGGAAGGTACATTTGGCAAACCCTCACCATGATCAACTCCCACCCGGAAACTTATGTCCCCACTGTGGAAGGACATGTGGATCCAGAATTGGCCTCCACAGTCACTTATGGACTCACTTATAAGACTGTGTTTATGGAAAACATTTTTACTTGGCTACAAGTGATCGCCAGAAAAGAAGATACATAGCTATGTATGCCATGTGGGCTGGCCTGCATCCT